GAATCTGACAGAAATGAAATTAAGTCTATGGCGCCACCTCCTGGCTTTATAGGATACGACATGTGATTAGAGAAAGAAATCCATTCCCCCCTTCAGGAACTGAAGACAAAATTGCTATACTGTATATCGCAACTGGAACTGTCTTTCCCTGGATATGTTTCCAGAACAGAAACACTCAGGAGAAAGTAACACACATCCAACTGAAAAACAGACACTGCCCACGCACCTTAGATTCTTTAGTTTACACTCTGGATCTTTCAGCCCCTCAAACAACATTTCCACAGCTTTCTCATCTGAGTTGTAGAAGGACAATATTAACTCTGTCAATTTCTGATTTTTGCTTAGTACTTCTGCAAGATGCCTGCCACTCGATTCGGTCAGGAATCTTCCATCAAGGCTGTAGGGAAGAGTGCAAAAAATTACAATTATTTCTTGAAAAACAAGCATGGACTTTATTCCTCTACGAACTGAAGACAATATGGCTATATATCGCAACTGGAACTGTCTTACCATGGCTATGTCTCCAGAACAGAAACACTCAAGAGAAAGTAACACAAATCTAACTGAAAAAGAAACACTGCTTGCTCACCATAGTTTCTCTACTTTACAGTCTGGATGTTTGAGCCCCTCACACAGGATTTCTACTCCTCTGTCATCTTTGTTGTAGAGGGACAATTTTAAATCTCTCAATCTCTGATTTTTCCAGAGTACTTCTGCAAAATGCCTGCTGCAGGACTCAGCATAGAATGCTCCATCAAGCCTGTAGGGAAGTGTGAAAAATTACAATTATTTGTTGAAAAACAAGCATGGACTGTATTCTTGTAGGAACTGAAGAGAATATGGGTATATATCGCAAGTGGAACTGTCTTTCCATGGCTGTGTTTCCAGAACAGAAACACTCAAGAGAAAGTAACACACATCTAACTGAAAAACAAACACAGCTCACTCACCATAGTTTCTCTACTGTACAGTGTGGATGTTTCAGCCCCTCAAGCATCATTTCCACAGCTTTCTCATCTGATTTGCAGAAGGACAATATTAACTCTCTCAATTTCTGATTCTTCCTGAGTACTTCTGCAAAATGTCTGCTGCTGGATTCAGTGCAGAATGCTCCATTAAGCCTGTAATGAAGAGTGCAAAAAATTACAATTATTTCTCAAAAAACTAACATGGACTGTATTCTTGTAGGAACTGAAGAGAATATATTACAAGTGGAACTGTCTTTCCATGGATATGTTTCCAAAACAGAAACACTCAAGGGAAAGTAACACAGATCAAACTGAAAAACAAACACTGCTCACTCACCATAGTTTTTCTATTTTACAGTCTGGATGTCTGAGCCCCTCACACAGCATTTGTACTACTCTGTCATCTCTGCTGGAGAGGGACAATTTTAACTCCCTCAATTTCTGATTTTTTCTGATTACTTCTGCAAAACGTCTGCCATGGGATTCAGGCCAGAATATTCCATCAAGGCTGTAGAGAAGAGTGCAAAAAAAAAGTACAATTATTTCTTGAAAAACAAGCATGGACTATATTCTTGTAAGAACTGAAAAGAACATGCACATATATCCCAACTGGAACTGTCTTTCCATAGATATGTTTCCAGAACAGAAACACTCAAGAGAAAGTAACACACATCTAACTGAAAAACAAGCACTGCTCACTCACCATAGTTTCTCTACTGTACAGTCTGGATGTTTCAGCCCCTCAAACAGTATTTGCACTCCTCTGTCATCTGTGTCGTAGAACGACAATATTAACTCTCTCAATCTCTGATTTTTCCTGAGTATTTCTGCAAAATGCCTGCTGCGGGATTTGGTCAGATATGTTCCGTAAAGCCTGTAGGGAAGAGTTGAAATTCTATTCGAAAAAATACAATTATTTCTTGAAAAACAAGCATGGACTGTATTCTTGTAGGCACTGAAGAGAATATGTTTCTATATGGCAGCTGATCTGCCTCTCCATGGATATATTTCCAGAACACCAACAGCAAAGAGACAGTTGGGCACATCAAACTGAAAGGAAAAAAATATCACTTACTGTAGTGTCCCTATTTTACATTCTGGATGTTTGAGCCCCTCATGCCACATTCCCATGGTTTTTCATCTGGTTTCTTGAGAGACAAGTTGAGCTCTCTCAACCTCTGACTTTTCATTTGTCCCTGAATCACGCACAACCGTCTCAGGGACTTCTGGGTGAGGGAATTGCAAACTAGTTGTCTCTTTAATTTTATCTTCTGTCATAGGTTGGTTAAAAGCCTATTTTCATTGATCAGTAAATTTTGCAGGTAATATTCCATTTAAGCACTCTTCAATTTTTGCTGGATCAGATACCTTTCTATTATACAATTTAGAAAAGTAAATCATGGATTACTAGAGAATTTCTTTCATTGCAGAGACATATTGGGTTCTATCCGAAATAGAAGTAATAATTATTTTATGCTGTTTCTTCAACAATTGAAAAGTTGTTTGACTTATTGCCTTTTTAAAAGATTTCTGTCTGGTAAAATTCAAGTTTGTGTAACTTTAAACTACTTCCCATAAATCAAGCTCATTCTTATCTTTTGTTCTAGATCCAAGGTTGATTTTAATTCATGACTTGTTTCCAGTGGTTTCAGATCTTTTAATATATAGATACAGTATATAGTTAATGAAGTTTCAGAAGCTAAGTCAGTCTTGAAGAAACTATTTAGTTCCTTTTGACATTTCAACTTTATTTCCTCTTCTAATAATAACAGCTCTTTAAGTTTCAATATAGGGATTTCTCTATTTAATCTTACAATTGCTGGATTATGATCTATGTATTTTCAAGTTGTCACCTCCACATGGAAAAGGTTAGCCAACAATGAATTTGAAATCCAACACATATCTATTCTTGATTATGATTTTTGGACTACACAAGAGTAAGTATACTCTCTCTCTCTGCAGGACGCTTATATCTCCATGCATCCAAGAGAGAGCAATCTCATGTGATCTGGAACATTTTGAGGAAGTTTACTGACACTTCTTTTTGATAAAGTTGACTTATCCAGAAAAGGGGAGAAAACCTCATACATACGCCATGTACTAAGTTATTACCCTAGACAATTAAAAGCAGGAGTCAAAAAAATCTTTCATAAAATCTGGTTTTATTGTCATTTGGAGCATAAATTTAGGCAATTGTTACCTTACTGAATTTAGTGTGAAAATGTAGTATTATAAATGTACCTTGTTCATCCCCAGTCCAATTTTTTTTATACAGCATGGTAGATTTTGCATTTATGGTTAATCGTTTTTTTTTTCCTGACTGTCTGAGGCTACAAATTTTTGAACAAGAACGCTGTGTTACAGTAAGTTCTCATGGTATTGTTTAACATGTCTCTTGCAAACATATCAAGTGTGCTTTATTTTTTTCAATTGGTAAAATATTTTTATCCTTTTAAATGAACTATTCAAAGCATTGATATTAGTAGAAACTACTTTGAGTTGATCCATAATTACAACTCTAAATTAATTTTATGAAGGAATAGCAGTTGCTTTGTCAGACTTGTGATCTTCTACCTGTTCTCAGTCATCATTCCCAGAAATGCCAGTTGGTTGATCCAAGTTCCAATCTTACATCTTTTTGCATTACAGATCTAAAGAGTGGACCATGTTTCCTGCATCCAATGGTGTGCATGAAAGCGTTAGCACTTTCCAAAAGAGCTCTGATGGAATGGAATAGTCCGTTTGTATCTTATTTTTTAATTTTGGAGAATGGTTGTCAAGAATCTTAGATTCCTTTGCTTTCTCAGAAGATTGGGCTAGTCTCTTGTGAAAGTTTGATTATAATACCCCCACTTTCAAAGGAGCTTCATTACTTTTTACTTCTAAAATGGCCTCTTTAGTCTTAAAATATGTAAATTTTACAAGTATGTCATGTGGCAGTTTTCTTCTTCAGGCTATCCAGGAATTTACTGTTGCGCAGCGTGCAGCAATACTCTCAGGAAATTGGCAAAAATACACATCAGCATGAGAGATTTACAAAATGCAATGTCCATATCT